CGAGCTGGTGAAAGCCAATGTATCCTCTCTCGATGAAAGCAAGAACAAGAATAGGGACGTGGAATATACGTATAATGTATGAAGCTGAGAAAGCTGCCCAGGTAGCCAAAGATATGAGGAGATATGGTATAAAATTGCTCGGAATCTGCGAGAGCAAATGGAATGGATGTGGACTATCCAAATTGTCAACTGGTAAGTAATCTACTCCAGTCACCACGAGCACACTGAAGGAGTGGCCATAAGGATTTCAGCAACAGCAGCCAAAGCCCTTAAACAGTAGGAAACAATCTCTTTCAGGATTATGACAACGAGAAATAGAGGGAAATATGAATGCCGAACTGAGACCGGACGATCCAGGAAGAGAACTCATTAAGGGTCCAGAGGCTCTCAGAGAAATGAATAAGAATGGACAATTATTCAGACTTTTAGACATTCAATCTGTCTATCTGTCTGTTTTCGACATAGAACTTTGCACAAATGTGCAGAAGTTCAAGTCGCCACATTCCGTGTAGCACGCGAAGCAAGAGAAGAAAGTACAAGAAAAGCATAATAGAAACAGTGAGCAGAGGTGTGAGACAAAGGAGTAATAAAGAAATACAAAATAGTTTCATTGAAGATCATAAGTCACAGGGAGTGGATGCATCTGCGCCACTGAGAACGGTTTTGAGCCATGTCACCAATTGTTTCCAACCATAGAATTTTACCGTCCCGAGGACCCCAGCCTGGAAGTCTACATCTTCCTACGTGGCTTAGACCAACTGTTGTGGATTTCATAGACTGATGCCAAGTTTTTGTTTGACCACCGCTAGCTTTTTTCCAGCCTGACCCTATATCCGCTAACATTGCTCGTCGACATTCAATAATTTCGTGTTTGAAGGTAGCGTGTATAAGCACAAGGACATACACAAGGCAACATGGATTTCACCTGACGCACACACCAAAACCAACATATACTTCATCTCCATCTCAAGAAAGTGGAGAAGCAGTCTGCTGGACACTAAGTAGAGGGGAGCAGAGGTAGGCTCACTCAGACCATCATCTAGTTCAAGGGACGTCCAAAATGAAAGCTGAAAGCCTTCAGAACAACTGGAGACAGACCGCAATTCAAGTCTGACACTCAGAAGCCAAAAGACGAAACTACAAAAGATATCGACCAAGTTAAACTTCAAACACCAGTAAGTGCTAGTGTAGTGCGACCATACCGACGACCTTGAAACACTCAGTGGGCAAGTTAGTGAAACCCGGTAAATAACATTGTAATCATGAATAAAATATGCTTAATGAAATGTTATGTTACTAGATGGGATATCAGGTTAGTTTTGGGAAAGAATAAGTTAGGGTTTGCGCTAGGGACAGGTTAGGGTTAAATCAACCTAATGAGGGCAACATTAGAGTTGGTTCGAGTTAGAATGCGATATTTTCGCCTAAGGGTTAGGTTAAGGAGATTAGAGTTATTGTTAGGGTTAGAAGACCTAGATAAGTACACGTATAAAATGTGGTTATACGACTCTGCTAATGCTTCAATCTAAAATTGAGTGGAATTTTTGTCACACATCAGAAAAAGGTATTCTGAGTAATAGTTTCATGCCTTTTAATTCACTTTTCATGAATATATGTATTTTATACGCAAAAATCGCCTTTATCATGTGGCTGGTGAGTTCGAGGTCACTTGTCTATTGGTATTTACTGATGCTTAACGTTTAACTTTGCCGAGATACCTTCGCTACAGATAGAGCAAAGTGAAAGACATTAAGTGGCATCACTGAGGAAATCCGCGCGGATGCACACTGGAACCCTCTGAAGGTGGCGTTAAAGGAAACGTGTACTACCGTTTAAAGAAGAAAGGTGACAAGACAAGGAATGGCTCTCAACGGATACTTGGAAGTTAACAGAAGGAAGATGGTGAAAGATGACTCAATGCATAGATGGGTAACAGAAGGAGAAGCTGAGTTTAATGTACACTGCAGTGAATATACAAGTGAAGAGTGCCAAGAAAGACGAAAGACAATTCTACGACACATTTGCAACTGGAGCAGAACAGGTAGCACGCAGATAAAAGAGACCTTAGGACGTTATACCACATAACCAGGTCTCTATATCTGGAAAGAGATCAACCCAGTTAGTGAAACCAATAAAAGATGTTCCCACGAACCTAATTACCAAGGAGGAGGAACAAATAAAACAATGTGCCGACCATCACCTGCAACTCGCCCAGAAATCCACCAACAACAACAGCAAGCATAGAACCGCTTGAAAGTGTACACAAATCCTGCAACGAAACCTGAAATTCTAAATGCGATCAAACACCTGTCGGAAAGGCAGCAGGGCTGAACGGAATTCCACCGGAAGCACTCAAAACGGACCCAGAGACTGCAGTAAGTGTGATTATGCCATTATTGCAAAAGGTTTGTTAGGAAGGAAATGTGCTAATTGGAAGAAAAACTACCTTGTCAAACTAACAACGGACGACTTAGGCCTGTTCGAGAACTGGCACGGAATCATGCTGGATTCAGGAAAGGCAAATCATATGCTAACCGAATTGCAATTCTACGCGTCATCACCAAACTGAGCATAGAATGGCAGTCAAACGTATACCTCAATTTCGTCGACTTTACAAAAGCCTTCGGCAACGTTGATTACTTCGATGCGAATTAATTTGGGAACACTATGGAGTGCAATGCCTAACCTCATCCAACAGCTGGCTATACGATAATTCCACGTGTTAGGTGATCCACAATGGAAAACTCAGAGAGGCGTTCGAAGTGAATACACGAGTAAGACAAGTCTGGCTGCCTATTATCACCGATGATATTCGTAATTGGTTGAGTGGATTATGCGTCAGACTGTGCATGGGAGTGAGAAGACAGGAATAAGCCGACCACCGACAAAAAGACTCTAGAAGATCTGAACTTCGCGGATGATTTATATCACACAAACTCGAAGAATTGCAGGCGAAAACCAACATTCTGACTGAAGAGGGTGGCAGCAAAGACAGGACTTCAGGTGAACATAGAGAAGACGTAGGTGATGAAGATAACCAACCATCACCAACAGCAACAACCAGCACCAATCACCAGAAATGTGGAAGAGGTCACTTCCTCCACTTATCCAGGAAGTATCGTTTTAGCTACAGGGGGGACGGATGATGTCAAAGCCAGAGCCGGAAGTCAACATACACCTTCAACAAAGCAATCAGTTTGGGAATCTTCGACACTCAGAACAAAGAACGAAATTCGGATTTTCAACACAAATATGTTAAGTTAGTTAGTGCTTCTATATGGATCAGAAACCTACAATGTGCGCTACGAAAGGCATTTCTAACACACCATTTCAGTCTTTTATCAACAACTGACTTCGCTGGATCCATACTGAAGATCATATGACCAGAAAGTATTACCAACAAAAAGCTCTGAGAAATTCCAATCAAGGACCTACTGTTCAACAAATATGTAAAAGAAGGTGAAGGTGGATTGGGTACACACTGAGACCGTTGGGTGACACCACTTGCCAGACCATCGCTCAAGTGGAACCAGAGTGGGGAGGCCGAGTAGGACAGGGACCGTGTGAGATCAGACACTATGGGTTATCGTGCGGCGAAATGAAGACCGCAGAATATGGTACAAAGTGAAGATGTAAAGCTGAAACTCTATTTTTTACATGAAACTCAAGGGGACAATAATAATAATAATAATAATAATAATGCGACAAATAGAAAACAACACACGAACAAGAGGAATCAATTTCTGAAATTGTAGTTATTGACGTCGTGACTGTAAACAACAAACTTTTTACAACACTTCATCCAGTAAATAAGACTGTTTCACTGTGAAATATCTAACAAAAAATTAATATGGAATTATGTACTACCGCAGTGCCCAAGTTTTACACATTAAATATCGTTGTTTCTGTTACACTTACTAAATATATCGCTAATATGATATCTAGACATGTATGTAAAAGCGTAAAACATTCACGGTTGGATGAAACGGAAAATGCAAGAGCCTATCAATTCCCAAACACTCATCACAGTGACCATTTACTCCATGAACAGGTATGCCCGTTAAGCCCGAGAAGTCTGCCATAACTATGTTTTAAGACGGACTTTATGCATTTAGTCACTCTTGATGTTTGTGGAGAAATAAAAGACCAACCACCTGATATTGTATTCAGCAGTAAAGAACATGCGCTGTGTGCAGAAGTAACACTTGCTGCACGAATCCCAATAAGTTGGTCAAACCAATGAGGATTGTCACAGAACCACCCAACAAAATGATTGGGGATATCAAGTCTGCTAAAAATACAGACAATTCAACCAATAAGTAAATATCAGTAAACAAATCCACCTGGCTGTCAGCGACGCCACCTAAACAGTGAACTATACTGAAGCCGTGTGCCGGTTAACACCAGTTAGACTATGCGGTGAAAGTGCCCTTATCATTTCATTCTTTGGAATATCAAGAAAAAATCATGCCTTCTTGTTTACAACACTCCACATTTCTTTACATGAAAAAGACATCTCTGTCAACTGAAAGGTGTTAGGATTTTAGGCTGTGGAGGGAATGTCCAGACATAATAAGGCGTAGTGAACACAAAGCACCACAATATCTGAGAGCATTGACCCAATCTGAGAGAGCCAACTTCTGCTCTGAATCGGTGCACCCAGATTTGAGCCTTCAGACTTATAAGGCCGGAGAGAACAGACCTAGTATGGTCAAGGCTACAATACTAGCTTTGTTATCCCAGCCATAGGATTACAGCTAGGTACGGGAATATAACAGCTAAGGACAGTATTTAATAACCATATACGATTGTGAAGTCAGTAAATACAATAAACAAAACCAAGCAGCAGGATCTGTAAATATGCGCAGAATACAACTTGCTTTTAATATATGCATAACTATATACATCATTAACATGACCACATAAAACGAATTAATGAATACATTTCCAAAAAGAGAAAGACAGTATAATGAGGAAAATAGTGTGACAAAGTGACTTACCGTGAGAAGAAATAAACTAATAAGCACTGCATTAAAATCCAGGACACAATTCAGATGACCCTCCTACCCAACATGGAACATCAAGGTCACACGGGGCAGACAAAAGTCCTGTAACCAATAAGAAGTATCCATGCCATTAAAACAAAGTTCCACTGTGCTCAATAATACATTCGTACGATTTTGACTGGAGATGTCAACTATGATAAAAAATTATACGCTTTCTTCCTAACTTCTGATATTAAATTCAAAACTGTTTCTATAATACGGAGAGGAAAACTCAAGAATTTCACAGGTTAACCAAACCAATTATCTGGACGAATATTCTATAATGCAGTCGATTCTGAAGTATTCTCCCTGTGGTCTTGCGTATTTTGCCACCTTCCAGTCCAAATATTTTTTGGTAAAGCTTGTTTCCTTAACCTGAAAGTTGACTTTCGTTCTCATGATTTCCTTTTTATGGATCAGTAAAGCTTGTGTATGTCAGAGTGTTGACTGTCAGCTGATTTGAATACCATGTTTCTGGAAATTCCCAGGCTTTTTTAGTGTTTCCTCTGCCTAATATTTGAACATTATCCGTCTTGGAAAATGTCTGTAAAGTATAAACTGAGGAAAAATTTAAGGCCATCTTCAAAAAATGAATATCTATGAAACTTCATCAAAATAAATACACCCTTAATCCAGCTAACCAGCCGGGAATTTTCCGGTTGAAACGCAAAAAGTTTGTCCTACTATATATCAAGAACCACTCCAAACTCACAGCAAGATTGATCAAATCTTCCGGAATCCGTGCCGTCCACAATCCAACGGAATCACTTCATCGGGCCCTATGTCAACCAAAAGACTTAAAAGTGAAAGCAGACGAAACCCACATTGACTACACGGTAAATTGTAACGACCTTAGAAAACATCACATTGATTGAGGTGGACTCTTTCGCCATCTTTGCATCCATGTATATAAACTGGCTGTCAAAAAACACGAAATCTACTACCTCATATCATTGCAAACAGACAAGCTCGGACCTTGGGTTGACTGGGATAACGTCCAAATCTTAAGCTGAAGAAATACTAAAAACGCCTGAGAATTTCCAGGCATGGTATTCAAGTCAGCTGACAGCCGACACTGATTTACACAAGTTTTACTGATCCATAAAAAGAAAATCATGAGAACGAATGTCAACTTTCAGGTTAAGGAAACAACCAATACAAAAATATTTGGACTAGAAGGTAAGAAAATACACAAAAACAGCCAGCCAAGTTCAGTGCCACCCAGAAAGATGACTGATAGACTCTTATAATAATAATAATGTATATTCTCATATAAACATATAAATTTACATGAAAATGCATGCCATTTTTACAGGCACGATCAAGTATGATATAATATCAAATCGTAGATTGTCTACAAGTTAATAATGTTTCAGCAGTTAAATATTTGATATATATATAAATACACATTGTCTGAACTAGGCTGTATAGTTATTGAATTGTACAATTGTCCTCCAGGTTGAGCGGGAAAATGGACTTCGTTTCGTTTTCATCCCGTGGTTGTCGGCATACGATAACCAACCAATATTGAGGTAAGTACAACGTTTACAAGGGATTGAAAGCTATTTTAGAAAAGTAAAAGTGCTGAGGTGAATCATTAAATTGTAATGAAATAGGTAAGTGCAAGTATCATTAATAAATGCATTAAAAAAAAAGAAAACTCCCTAGGCTGACAACGTTCATTTGCAATGTATAATGCTACACGTATACCTCGTACTATCATGATGTCCACTTTTGGTTTTAATACATTTATCCTCAGTTGTGCCAGTTGTTTTTGTTTTATACCTTTTTGTGCATTTAGTGCACAACCGTACCTTTCAGAGAGTAGGAATATAATAAGTCATAAAGAGCTGTAAAATGTTAGGTTTAATGGGATATAATGAGGATCAAGTAAAGACGTTATTGGAAAATGAATGAGATAAGACATTGTGAAGTGGTATTTAAAGATCAGACAATGGACAGCAAGTTAGTTTATAAGATGCCCCATAAATCTGTGCAGATCCCGCGTGGTCGCGTCTCAACAATAGGCTGAGCGAATGGTATATTTAAAGGTAGAAGCATGATCTGTCAAGGCGTTCATTATTATCTTTTTCAAGCTAAAGATCTAAGCCCTCATAAAAATCAGAAATATCTCGAGCCTTTAATTTGTATATTGCTGTTCCTGCAGAATGGGGCGATTCACCTTAGTGACCCCCACCATATCTACTGATCTTGAGGAATTTTAAAAGCTTACTTCAAATTTAAGTGTGCTCTGATGATGAAAGTTTCGTGATCAAACCATCAAGCTTCGAGAACGCACCTACACCAAAATGTTTTTATTCCTCTGGTGTTTTCAGGTGCAGTATTATGATTAAAATTAGAAAATTTAAGGGAAACCTGCTATTGGTGTTACATTTTCATAACATAGCCAAGTCCTGCGTGTTTGCATAAGATGCGTTAAATTGTCATCTACTTCATGAAGGTATCACAAAACTACATTGGCTTCTTATATGGTTTCTGTTGAGATCTCCGAATTTATTAACTCTGGAAATGTTGCATAGCCTCACACTTGGATGCAATCGTCAGTCAAGTTTTATAAGCCGTTACTGTCCAGCTCTTGCTACGCTGGGCCTCACGCTATCCCTCGAAGATATTCAGAAACTCTTAGTGTTAACCGACGCAAAAACCGAAACGCTGTTTGGTGACTCAAGATTTTTTTATTCCAATGCCAACATATAACCAGGAATACTGGTATTACATAGTAAGGTCTAAGAACAAATATTACCACAATAAATCACGATATTACTTCTGATGGTTTTTTGATCTTCCTTCTGGACAGCGACCGATGAGACAATGACTGGTGGATGATGACTATGAGAAAATATGGGTCGTTGGGTTTGAGCAAACTACCATGAATTGATCGTCCAATCTTCAACGTGCGTCGGTGACACAGTGGTTAGGACTCTCGCCGACCATGCACATGGTCCGGGGTTCGAGCCCACGCCGGCGCACACCTGATATCTACGGTCGGCCTGCGAAATTTGGGCTACCGATATCCATGCTGAAAATTCCATACTTGTACCAAAAATACAGTGTGGAATCAAGCTGTAAATCTAAAAAAATTGACAGCAATGGAATCTTTAAGAAGTCTCTGTGATAACCTGACAATCAACAGTGATATTTGCGGTTTAAGTTATCACTTTTTGAATTAGATATCTTAATGCTGATGACAGTAACGCTGTGAAAATTAGAAGCAAGAAATATGGTGTACAGACAATCCTTTCTAGTACAAGTGGTTGCCCCCACAGCGGAAAGAAATTTTCGTGAAGTGGGAAAGATAAGTTTGAGTCTATGAATTAAATTTGAATTCATGCTGTAACTTGTTTGTTAAAACTATAATATGAATGCAGGTGCTAGTAATCATGATAATACAGTTTGGAATAAGTGATCAGAGATTTTATTATTTTGGCTTACTTTGCCACACGTAACACCTGTTTAATCTTTTGTGCAGTTGTCATAGGTGGTTCCGTGTGACGTCATTTTTACCTAACAGTATTACAGCTGTCCGCATGTATCTGAAAATCATGTGAGCATAATCACCTAAAGAATAGATACTTGGTTTCACACTCACTAATAGTCGTTTGGACTTAATGCAACTCCTGAATAAAAAGATGACATTTTTTAACTCTTAAACGTTTCGCATAATTTTAAATGGTTAACAACCAGGATGACTACACTGGTAATATTTTCAGCAGAAACCCTTGTCGTGCCAATGTCACTGGTACCAGGATCTCCACTCAGCATTCACATTGTAAGCCATAAGGCATTCTGCCCAACTTTGGTCACTATTACTCGATATGAAAGAGGCAGATACTCCAAAACTATCACTAGACTATAGGAGCGACGGTTTCGCAATGTTTATCTATGAAAGGAACTCTGATGTATATCTGCTGCACCCTGAATCACTTGTTTCACTTGAAGCCCTACTTATAATGCAGGTGCACACTCAGAATACTACAGGTGCATATCAGCGACCAGGCTGAAGACTTCTTTCTCACTGAACCACTTATCTACCGAAATTATTACGACTCCCGCATAACTTGATCAACTCGTTATGTCATTAGATGTGCTTGGCTTTGAAGTATGATCATGCGTAAATGTTTTGGCAGAGCACCCGAATAATTCTGCCCAATAGGCACTACTGATGGTGTACAAAAACCAGTTGTCAGAAATGTTCGAGTCCTTCCTTAGTGACCGATAGCAGTGTAGTAGACTTACTTCTGCATTCTTGTCACTGAAAACAATTAGAGACTCCATTCATGATGGCTTGTTTATACTGTTATTATTTCACGTCTGAGTCCGTGAAGCCACAAGGTGTCTCAATGAACGTAAACCATTTTTCCTTGAGATGGTCACGTTTCTTCTTGCTGGAGTCAGCATAATGGACGATGGTCGTGCTGTCAAACACCGAGTTTGCAATGAACTCAGTGACGTGGCATGGCTTCCGAAAGTGTTGACATGTGACGCTTTTATCTTGATCGTGCGTGATATGCGTAGTGCTCCCCGCCTGTCCCTCTTTGTTTTTCATTTTAATGTTGTCGCGGATGACTCAGGTTTGCATAGCGTTGCTTAGATCAACGCAGACTAATTGTCATAACGAAATGGATGAATCTTCTCTTTTGATATACAGTACCAATGAACAATGAAAAGATACTCAAAGGCGCCATCGATTACATTGCTGATTTTGTTTTGAGTTCAGTTTATTGCCCAAACTCTGTTCCGTTCTGTGAGTAGGGCTTAAGCTAGGGTAAACTAGACACATTCTATTGAAATGGACGTTTTAAGTTGTTCTCAGTGATTTGCTTAGTGGTGGATGGAGTCTAGTCAACGGGTAAAAGTAGGCCACTAGTGGGATAAGCCAGCTATTCGGCAAAAAATTATGTCCACTTGGTTTGAATACCATATAAAGGTTACTGAAGTCATTTCTAGGTGAGAAATGAAAGTTGGTATACAGCTGGTGAGCGGGATCAAACGAACTAAGCAATGACTTTAACAGCCAATCGAAAGATTTGCATGAGGAAAGATTATTGAGTGGTTAGAAAATTAAGTTAAAATGAAATGTAAGACAGAGTTGTGCGAAATGACATGATTACTTGGCCGCGCATCTTCAGCATAACCAGTTGAGTTACTTAGTGAATGCTAGCCCCAATTCCAAATGGTCATATAACTGCAGACCACCGACGTTTGGAATTATTTGCAGATTAGGATTTCGATTCAGTGGCTGAGAACAGAAGGCTCAAAGCCCATGTTAATCCTTTTCTAACAAATTTATTTGCTTCCCAAAGCCTTCTTGAATGGGTCGATTGAAGGCTGTGATACCAGTTCTCCTTGCAATTGGTGTGAGTGGTTGAAGACTCGATGAAAGAACCAACACACTACAGAAATTTAGTCTCCTTTTGGCTTTTGAACTCCCTTGTTGTGCCATCTGAGGTGTTCCAACTTGACGGGAAGGAAAACACTGTAATGAGATCCCCTTCCTCCTTATGGTATGACAAAGAGAAGAGATCCAAACTGTCTAGTCCTACTTCGCATGATAAATCCGTCGCGGCAACAATCATACGCGTTGCCTTCCTATGAAACCTTTCTAGAATATGTGGGCCCGTCTTAGGACAAGGACTGCATTCTTGAATACAGTTTACCAATCCTGACCGCACTAGAGACGTGTATGAAGAGGTGAACATAACTCTGGTAATTCTAGAAAACTTTCTGGGAGTTAATGTCCGTAAACGTTTGGACACTAGATTAGATCGAGTAAATTGTAATTATATTTCAATAGTTTAAACACAACTATCAATAACCTGGAATATAATTCTGGATACTGGGAGTGAATGGACAAAAAATGAACTGCGTATGTGAGCACAAATTATAAAAGTGTGAATTAAAAACAAAAACGGTTTCAATAGTTGGTGTGGTCACGGGTAGTAACTTTACCTGAAATATTGCCCAAAACAAAAACTTATTATTGTGTGTAAACTAGTGAAATATAATCATAATTTATTTGTCCTGGGAACTGATCATAGAGTTCTGGAACCATGGGGTGATACAGCATGACGGTGTGCTGTAGTTTTTAAGTCGTGGCTTCCTACGACACCTAGGCTCACATGAGTCTGAAACGATGGGATTGTTATTCCCCCTTGTTCGTAAGAGCTGTCACTTGAGTGTCCTATTCTCATGGTTGCGCATTTCACTATGTTGATCAGGAGTGTCCATTCCACAAATCATTCTAACTACTTGCTGGCAAGATAATGTAAATCCTGAAATTCTTTGAAATGATTTGAACGACACAAGAGATTTCATCAACAAAGTTCATAACATCTCCAGAAGCATTTTTAGTGACATGGCGCGTAGTGGAAACTGGAAAGAATACTTCCTACTCCCTGATATGAGAGAAACTGGGGTGAAGAACTCTGCACTTTGACCGATCACATCTGCTTTTGCACAAATAGTGCCTTTCAACTAGATTTTGATGCACTATTGGCATCCGTATTACTCACCTGATTCTTAACCTCAATTTTTATTGATCCATTGAAACCCAACCGTGAAAACAGTGCGTCGACTGATAAATTGCTATGTGCTTCTGCGGCTGACTGAGTCACAGAATCAATAGTCTCAGTTTGGGACTGATTAGATGACTGCAAATATAATTTACCATTAAGTACTTCTAGAAGTTTCACTTGGAAGTCTTCACGACACTTTTGTTGCTGTTGTAACTGTAACTGGACTTATCTGAAACTGATGGATATGATTAAAACATTTGTACCGAATTATACTAGAATACGGGTTCGTTGGCCACCAAAATATTTGGTAGATTCCGGTAGTTTGTATCCAAAGGAGTTGTCTTAGAGTCGTCTTGTGAGGCTCATTGAATCAACTGTTGGGCGTGCAGGAGTCATAGACTACGAGACTCCGGCATGTGAATGTCCACGAGTCTAGAATCTCCGTCAGAAAGTTTTCCGTATTGCTGTCGAGACCGCAGCGCGTAGCGATTAGGTTAATATCTAGCTGTAGCTGCCTACTGTCAGCTTGTGTGGATAAGGTTTGTTCTGCAACTCAGGGGTGACTGTGAGAGCATTTCTCCAACCCCTGCTACGCCTTTTCCTCTCTCTGGAAATAACCAAATCGGCGTTGAAGCCTCACAGTACTGTCTCGTTAGGCATAGTAAGAACAGCGTGGGTGTTCAAGCTACGGTTGATGATACCCGTGACGGAAGACCCTCACTCCCTGGCAGTGACCCGTAGAGTATGCGTACTGTTTTGTTAGCGATGCTAACCGCGTCATCGATGTCTGAGCAATAGCTGCTCTCCTCGTGGGGTGAAGGACCTTTTAGTCCATAGGCTTCAACATTCCATTAAGTGTGGCTCTTCATTTTTTGATACGGTGTCCAGTTGTGCTGTGGCAATCGTCATACAGCCAGTGTGCTGCTGGGTTTTCACGTAGCTTTTGTATACTGCAAGGGTTAGGTTGGTGTATATGTCATGGAATCGACGGTAGCAACTGTCACACCGAGTACCTTCGTCGACTGGAGATTGCCAAGGCCATTTTTCGCTTTCCTCTTGGGCTGTCTGAATGCGCATCATTTGAGCTTGCAGTATAACCGTATTCGCTAGATCAGTTCCTAAACTTTTTCTCTGGACAGTCTTGACCTTTTATTTTGCTCAAATATTCTTCTTACCAGAGCACATTTCCAATTAACTAAATCCTTTTAATTTGCGTCTTACCACAAGTATTTATAGTTCAGGTAGAGAAGTGAATAATTGGATGACCACATAATTTATATTCTATAATGGGTGGTACAGTGTAGCTTTTCAGCAGCACTGCCAGTTGCTTGCACTATCAGTGACTCAGTCCGTGTGTTAACCTAGAAATCCCAGAGAACACAGTGGTCAAAAGAAACATTGAAGTTAGCCTTAAGAGAGACTCAGATTATAGCGAATAGCCGGGCTTAAGAAATCAGTACAATACAAAAGTCAGAGAGGACTGATGAGCATTCCAGGAGAACCTAGTCAGGAAACCGCAAACTCACCCAAGGTACCTGGAAAACTCGTTAGCATTCTAGGGATAGCTAAAGCTTGAATGATGACCTTAATGACATCGGAACAGCACGAGAGTGAAAAACATGTGTTCATTATGGCGATAAATGACGGAGGATAAGTAGGAGACAGTACCTGCCGTCTCCACATCCAAAATTGACAGGTATGTGTTTATTTGGAATGGCGTTTTACAGCATTCCTTAAATGTGACTGTTTATTGCAGGTCAACTTCAGAAAGAGCTTGACTTTGTCTGTGATACTTCTACCTTCGCCTTGCCTTTATGTCCTACATCGGGTTACTACAGCTTAGCTTCCAAAACAAACATTTTTCGGTGATTCTAAAATATAGTGTCTCGGAACGGTACTACCTAATGAAGGTATTTATGACCTTGAGTTACCGGTCAGATGAGTCCGTAGAATATAGGCGGAATTATGGATTCCCTACACGAATAACGGTGCAAATTTCATCTAAATCTAGTATTTAAGTGCGCCGAAGTTTAACTTTAAATACAACTCAAATCAAGCGGAATAGAAGCTTCAACTCACATGAGTAAAACTAATTATACCATTCAAGGTCAGTGATGCGGATGCAATCCACTGATAGTTAGTGCTGCTTAAATTTTGACTCGGCTCTGTTTTCTTCTCCCCAGTATTTTTCTACGTCTCAAGACATTTCCTAAGAAACGCGTTGTTACCGCATATTATTATCTTTTCAATGTGATTGGTCAATTCAAGGTCATTGGGGAGCTATTTAGGTTGGAGCATTAGTTCATCCCAACGTAGTTACAAGAAGTAAGTGATGTGTTTTAGGGATTATTATGTGTTTGAAATGGTTATGTACAAATACTGGTAGCCATATGGTAGATTAACGTAAAGGTTTTTGGGAAACGCATCAAAATATTTCCATTTTCCCCATGAGGCTTTGCAAAACGCCATAACTTCTTGAAAATTTCCGAGAATTTCTCATGATATTCATGATTAGAGGAGTTTGTAGGTGAAATCAGAGTTCGAGAAATAAATGATCTTCGGAATGAAATTATAATATCATCAAAAGACATATATATATATACCTTTTAATAGTATGAATTCCTGTACATAATTTGAAGGGTCTGAAGGTATTCTTATTATATTTTCTGGGATGCTGTCGTGTTTTTACACACATACAAATTACATGACGTCTCAATTTTCTCACTTATTCCTTTTTCGTTTTCGATGCATTTTTACGGTTACAATTTTTATTTCAAGTGTTTCTGTTGGCGATCTTACACTCCACAACAGCTTAGTGTAGGGAACTGCAGTTGAAGTCTTGATAAAGTTAAATTCGCTGGGGTTGCATAACTCATTTATCAGTAAGATTATTGCACTTATTTTGTAACCAATTCATTCTACTATGCAGTGATTTTGATATCATGTGATATCAAAATTACTGCAATGAACATATGTTCATTGCGTACTGGTGTACATGAATAGATCATCTGTTATGATAAGTGAATTAGGTGAATACTTCAATAATTTCACATTCCTAGGTGACTACTGACCAGACCGCAGCATCTGTACCGAAGGCTCATATGATTTCAGTAATTTGCAGTACTCTGGAACTGTGACAATATAACAGTAGAATTCGTTCAGTGTAGTAAGGTATGCGTCTATATCAAATAATCCTATACGTTATGACACAGGTGTACATTGTTGTTGACGGGATGGTTTTTCAGAAGACAGTTCAGTTTTTTATTAAGTGATTAATTTTGCTCAGAATCGTCCAGTTGATAATACTGTGTCATTGAATATCATATCACAGGGACTTTTCGAATATTATGGCTGAATGCCATTGAAGGGTCTACTACATAGCTCAGTGATTCTACTCGCGTAAATTTGAAAAACAGTAGTTAAAAGTAAACAGTATGTGTAGGCTACAAACGGCTAAATAGAAAAATCAGAAGTGTGACAGTTTGAGTTTCCGGAATTCAAAAAAAGCAAACAGAAACAAGGGAAAGAAACAATGGGCAAAAATGTACGGGAGAAAAAAATAGTCAAATGAAGATTAGTTGGTATTTTCGAAATTTGAATGATTATAAGAAGTGAATACATAGGAACCGTTATAAACAATTTCAGATCATCTCAAAAAGTCTCCAGCTACTGGTTCTGAGCATCTCAAGGACCTCAACCACGCCGTCTACATTTATCCACATAGCTCAAATACAGTAAAAGGCTTCATGAATTATTGCTGTTTTTCTGTTTGACTACTGATAAATCCTTTCCAGGGTAATATCTTTTCAGCTGACTAGTTTGACAAGGAAGTCAGTAGGGTGAAACGGGTAATACATGATCTAACTATCTCAATCGTTGGACTTTTTTGGCCTCATCGATAGACATTTTTACTCCTTACCCAAAAATCTACATATAACTTCTATTAATTGTCGTGTTTCGCTACCCAGCATGGTAAAAGTGATAATCTCCAGCAGCCATACCTCAGTTGCAGACTGATACATAATATACAAGTTCTTTGATGGATAGCCGGATATCACGCCGGCATCTAAAGTCGTGAATGAAAGGCCAAAAGTACTTGGGTATGTGTTCTGGGTGTTCAGAAAATCCTGTATTTGTCAGTGTAATCACTTAAATAGACAATATCATCTGTGTACCGAAAATCATGGAAATGTTTTCCTGTCAACACGTCTATCTTTGAGAGATTGGAATCAACTAGGATTACATTCAGTAATGCTTGTATCTTGACAGTTGGCAACCCTGACAGAAACTACTGATTGTCCCCACACCGGGTGACAACTGTGTATAGGTTCTTATACGGCTGCACAACTTTGAATAGAGTGCGCCAGTGAGTGCCACGTACTTTCTTGAAATTCTCATCACAGCTAAACGTTGTTCTAACACCTCTAGATTGAGGAAGGCAAATACCCTTTCCAGGTTAAGGAATATAGCATTTTCGACAATGGTGAGTGAACCTGTGCTTTGAGTAATGACTTGATCAGTGCACTGTATTTTGGGATTGAAATCCACCTGTTTTTTTTTTGAGTTTGGTTCTCCTATGCTCCTCATATCCTTCTCAGTGCAATTCGGTTTTCGTACAGCATTGTCGGTTGTTAGCATTAAGTCATTCATTGGTATTTCTTTATTACTTTTAATTGCCTAGTTTTTTCGCTTGCTTTACATCCTCACTTGCTTCGTCGCCTGAACTGATGACAGTCTTCAGATGCTTCGTTCATGCAGCCAGGTGGTATTACTAGCTCCCACAGTAGGTGCTCTTGCATGTACGATTTCGTTTTTGCTAAGTTGTAACTGTAGCTGTATCCAGTACTCACTGCTTCAGTAAGAAATATTAAAACGGTATATATGAAGAGTAACTTGTCACTTCAAGGTAGTATACAATACCTGTATAAAAATGAAATGTATTCACTCTGAAGTTGAGGGCATTTAATGTATTTCGATTCATTTAACAGTTCTTCACGAGAGAAAATGGCAAAAAACTTAATATATTGTGACTATCCGTGGACAGGTTTCTTGTGATAAGTTTTGTTAAAGCTTAAAAGATCAGATTTTGTCTTCACAGGTTCTCATCAGTTGTAGACTACCCTGAAATGACGATAATGATAGGAGAATGCATGAAAATAACATGCTTCAGTGTTTGCATATAGCAGAGGTTAGCCTATGAATCAAGGTGTCAAAAGTGTAAACATCATAATTTTTAGTTCCATTCGTCAGTTTGTTATTAAGTGTTGCTTTAGAGGCAGTTGATTGGTTTCAGGTTCGACCACGAGCTGACATCATATAGAGAACTGGAATACCGTGGAGCACTAGACAACCGTTTCGTGCTAATTTGGGGCTCTTCACTAATACGCACTTACCAGGGTTCGAACCCAGGACCTTCCGGTTACAAGAAAAATCCGTAAACCATTCAGTCACTGGGACCCGGTTCGGTGTTTCATGGATTCTAACTTCTGCCACTTTAGGATATTTAGCGCAACCTCAAGCCAATGTCACAGGTGATTAACCGTCCTCTTGCCTGACATAGTTGACCTCACTGGTTACGACTTCTCACTAGAACTCCAGGTAACTTCCAGTATGGATCCAGTCACTAGTTAATATCAGATTAATTACCAAGTTTTGGTTTACAGGGACTGGTTACAGGATCAGTCATGAATTGACGTCGATTTAACAACCATTGGAAAACCAGAGAGTACTGGACAACTGTCTCATCCTAGCTTGGGACTCTTCATCAGTGCGCATGCTGTGACATTGGCTAGCGGTTGCGATAAATATCGCAAATCATCAGTTTATGTTCATTGCACTATTGAAAGGTAAAGGCAGGATAAAATAGAATAAAGTGGCGAACACTGCTAGCTCATAAGGTTACATAAAACTCTTGAAAATTATAGTTCATAAGACTTGAACCAGTTCAGTAAAGTGAAATTACTAATATGGAATAAAATATTTATTTAGAGCGAACAATTGTTTTCAATAAATTCTTCTTCAGGCTCTACAATTATAAATCCATTAATGTAAGCATACAATAACCAGTAAAGGCGAATTAGAATCATATCAGAAAGTGTATTGTGGAACAAGTATAAGATGGTATGAAACAATAGTCATATAGTTTTTTAATATGCATGGTCAATAACAAAATGGGACAAAATGAGATAATTTAATTTAATGATGTGTGTATATATATAAATATAGTTAACAGAAAATACAGGTTTCAAGAGTGAGTGTAATCAGGGTGTGTGAGGCAATATGAAAATAAACCAACGAATGGGGCGGTCTAGACTTAAGTTCAAGGTTGAAAATAACAACAATAAGAATGATTGTAAAATAATAACGATGATATGGTGTAAAATTAAAAGTACTATTGGTGAATGATTGTCAAATAATAATAATAATAATAATGAATATAATGAAGTGGAATGAACAGGATTTTGTAAATACGATAGCAAGTTAGAAAAGCACTATTTAAACCTAAGGTAATAAAATCATAAGAAAGGTCATGAAATCATAAAAGTCGAAAATGAACGTTTGTCAATGAAACAGAGGAATAGAAGAAGAAGAAGAAAATAATAGAAAATTGTGAAAGGAATTTATAGTGTTAATGGAGGATTTGTTGGCTTTATTGTAGGCCAAGGTAAACATAGAGGTTGAACATACTTCTTCTGTATGCAGAGGGATGGTCTTCTGGTATTAATTGCAACTGCTTCAGCTACTGATAGAAGACGTAGTCGAGCTCCTCTAGATAAATTACTAGGAACGCGGTAAATAACTGAGAACGCTTGGTCAAGTTTTATCGGGTGTCCAGTATCTACCAAGTGGGCTAAGACTGCACTATTTATGCCTTTGGTTACTCCTTTACTCAACCATACAGGTACATGTTCACGCGCGCGCATGGATAAAGCCCTCTGAGTACGGCCAATATAACTAGCTCCACATGAGCAGTTGAATTCGTAGATGCACATTGATGAGGCCATCTTTGGTAATTTATCCTTTACTTGCTGTGTGAGTACTGGTTTAGTTGAGAAGTTTAGTACCAATTTAGCTGCAGGAAATGTTCTATCTATTGCTCTATTGAGTCGACACTTTAGAATGTCAGCTGCAATTTCCCCTTTGCAACTTAACTTAAGATACAAAGGTTTCTTGTCTACGGTATCCACCTTTACCCTGTCTATAGGTATTGACATATACTTTTTTAGGAAGCTCTGTGGATAGCCATTTTCTTGCAGTGTGAGTTTTAGTTTATGCATTTCTTCCTTAATGCATTCCTCTGAGCATATTCGTTTTATTCTGTAGCT